ATTATACCCAGACATTTTGAGTATGTGTTCACTGACAGAACTATTCTCCTCCATCTTGCAGCTATAGAACTTATTGGAGACTTCATATCTCTCAATCCGGGCATTTGCTTGAAATATTAACTTCAACTCCTGGAACATCTCATATGCTCCATGACGTTCAAAACGTTGTTGAAGACCCGGTTCTAAGCCGTAAAGCATGGCATACTGAACTATCGAGTAGTCATCAGCTTTGCTCTGCCAGATGTTTTTAACGTCGCCAGTTGCATCAGCAGCAGGCCTGGCACCCAGTGGTGCTTCCAGGACGTAACTTTTCTGTGCATCAATGAGGATAATCCTTAGGTTACGGACCCAGTCCGTGTAATTGCTACCATCATCTTTCAACTTTGCTTTCTCAAGGAACGCATTAAAATTCAACGGAACAACAGAACGAGCCATCTATCTACAAACAAACATAGACAAGCAAAATACTATCAGGTACTAAGTTCATGATAAATTTAAGTTCAATTAATCATATTACTTAAGAACTCCCACTTAGACAGACATCTCTCTAGTCATCTAAGTGATCACGTGATCCAAATCAACTAAACCATGGCCGATCATCACGTGAGATGGAGTAGTTTCAATGGTGAACATCACTATGTTGATCATATCTACTATATGATTCACGCTCGACCTTTCGGTCTCCATGTTCCGAGGTCATATCTGTATATGCTAGGCTCGTCAAGTATGACCTGAGTATTCCGCGTGTGCAACTGTTTTGCACCCGTTGTATTTGAACGTAGAGCCTATCACACCCGATCATCACGTGGTGTCTCAGCATGAAGAACTTTCGCAACGGTGCATACTCAGGGAGAACACTTCTTGATTATTAAGTGAGAGATCATCTTAAAATTCTACCGTCAATCAAAGCAAGATAAGATGCATAAAGGATAAACATCACATGCAATCAATATAAGTGATATGATATGGCCATCATCATCTTGTGCTTGTGATCTCCATCTTCGAAGCACCATCGTGATCACCATCGTCACCGGCGCGACACCTTGATCTCCATTGTAGCATCGTTGTCGTTACGCCATCTATTGCTTCTACGACTATTTCTACCGCTTAGTGATAAAGTAAAGCAATTACAGGGCGTTTGCATTTCATACAATAAAGCGACAACCATATGGCTCCTGCCAGTTGCCGATAACTTCGGTTACAAAACATGATCATCTCATACAATAAAATATAGCATCACGTCTTGACCATATCACATCACAACATGCCGTGCAAAAACAAGTTAGACGTCCTCTACTTTGTTGTTGCAAATTTTACGTGGCTGCTACGGGCTTAGCAAGAACCGTTCTTACCTACGCATCAAAAAACCACAACGATAGTTCGTCAAGTTGGTGCTGTTTTAACCTTCGCAAGGACCGGGCGTAGCCACACTCGATTCAGCTAAAGTGAGAGAGACAGACACCCGCCAGCCACCTTTAAGCACGAGTGCTTGTAACGGTGAAACCAGTCTCGCGTAAGCGTACGCGTAATGTTGGTCCGGGCCGCTTCATCTCACAATCCCGCCGAACCAAAGTATGACATGCTGGTAAGCAGTATGACTTGTATCGCCCACAACTCACTTGTGTTCTACTCGTGCATATAACATCAACACATAAAACCTAGGCTCGGATGCCACTGTTGGGGAACGTAGTAATTTCAAAAAATTTCCTACGCACACGCAAGATCATGGTGATGGTATAGCAATGAGAGGGGAGAGTGTTCGTCCACGTACCCTCGTAGACCGTAAGAGGAAGCGTTAGCACAACGCGGTTGATGTAGTCGTACGTCTTCATGATCCGACCGATCCAAGCACCGAACGTACGGAGCCTCCGAGTTCAGCACACGTTTAGCTCGATGATGATCTCCGGCCTCCGATCCAGCAAAGCTCCGGAGATGAGTTCCGTCAGCACGACGGCGTGGTGACGATGATGATGTTCTACTGGCGCAGGGCTTCGCCTAAACTCCGCGACGATATGACCAAGGTGGAATATGGTGGAGGGGGGCACCGCACACGGCTAAGGAACGATCCGTAGATCAACTTGTGTGTTTGTGGGGTGCCCCCCCACCCCCGTATATAAAGGAGCAAGGGGGAGGCCGGCCGGCCCTTGGGGCGCGCCAAGGAGGGGGGAGTCCTCCTCCTAGTGGGAGTAGGACTCCCCTTTCCTAGTCCAACTAGGAAGGAGGAAGGTGTAAGGAAAGAGGGGGAGAGGGAGAGGGAAAGAGGGGCCGCGACCCCCTCCCCTAGTCCAATTCGGATTCCCCATGGGAGGGGGCGCGCCACCTCCTGGGCTGCTGCCCTCTCTCTCCCCTCAGGCCCACTAAGGCCCAATACTTCCCCGGGGGGTTCCGGTAACCCCTCCGGCACTCCGGTTTTCTCCGAAATCACCTGGAACACTTCCGGTGTCCGAATATAGTCGTCCAATATATCAATCTTTATGTCTCGACCATTTCGAGACTCCTCGTCATGTCCGTGATCACATCCGGGACACCGAACAAACTTTGGTACGTCAAAACTTATAAACTCATAATAAAACTGTCATCGTAATGTTAAGCGTGCGGACCCTACGGGTTCGAGAACTATGTAGACATGACCGAGAACTATTCTCGGTCAATAACCAATAGCAGGACCTGGATGCCCATATTGGTTCCTACATATTCTACGAAGATCTTTATCGGTCAAACCGCATAACAACATACGTTGTTCCCTTTGTCATCGGTATGTTACTTGTCCGAGATTTGATCGTCGGTATCCAATACCTAGTTCAATCTCGTTACCGGCAAGTCTCTTTACTCGTTCTGTAATGCATCATCCCGCAACCAACTCATTTGGTCATATTGCTTGCAAGGCTTATAATGATGTGCATTACCGAGAGGGCCCAGAGATACCTCTCCGACGATCGGAGTGACAAAACCTAATCTCGAAATACGCCAACTCAACATGTACCTTCGGAGACACCTGTAGTACTCCTTTATAATCACCCAGTTACGTTGTGACGTTTGGTAGTACCCAAAGTGTTCCTCCGGTAAACGGGAGTTGCATAATTCTCATAGTTACAGGAACATGTATAAGTCATGAAGAAAGCAATAGCAGTATACTAAACGATCAAGTGCTAGGCTAACGGAATGGGTCATGTCAATCACATCATTCTTCTAATGATGTGATCCCACTAATCAAATGACAACACATGTCTATGGTCAGGAAACATAACCATCTTTGATCAATGAGCTAGTCAAGTAGAGGCATACTAGTGACTATATGTTTTGTCTATGTATTCACACATGTATCATGTTTCCGGTTAATACAATTCTAGCATGAATAATAAACATTTATCATGATATGAGGAAATAAATAATAACTTTATTATTGCCTCTAGGGCATATTTCCTTCAGAGAGTAAATGTGACAGTTCATGGGCGGGCCGGTGGCTAAAAGTAGAGAAGGTCGGAAAATAAGGTAGTCGGATATAAAAAAAGATGTGGAATGCCTAAAAGGATACATAAAAATAAAAGGAAAATACTTGATGACGTGGCAGATTTGTTGAGGTCGATGGCTGCATGATGATTGCCGATGTGGATTGTTTGCATGTCAAGAGAAATAATGTAGTGGGGGACTCCTATTTAGATATAGTATGAATACCTTCGTCAGTTTCATGTGTACTCAATGGCTGCACTTTTGGCCGGAAGACAAGTGAGGAGCAGAGAGTAAATGTGACAATTCATGGGTGGGTGTCGCTAAAAGTAGAGAATGTAGGAAAATAAGGTAGTGGGATATAAAAAAAGACGTGGAATGGCTGAAAGGATATAGAAAAATAAAAGGAAAAAACTTAATGACGTGGCAGATTTGTTGAGATGGATGGCTGCATGATGATTGTTGATGTAGATAGTTTGCGTGTCAAGAGAAATAAGGTAGTGGGGGCTCCTATTTAGATATAGTAGATCAGAGTTAGCGTGGCAAAATTCAGTCTATAAATGTCCAGTTCCCCTTTATGGAAGTCTTCAAACATCCTAAATAGGTCATGCATGCTTGATTAGCTCCCAGAAAATGTTGGTAGAAAAAGAAAGTGATCGATCAGGACTCTATCAACATAGGATTCAAAAATAACTTTCTTAATTTCTTCCTCCAAAACGGGGCCAGGAGCACGGTTTTGGATTTTGTCCGGAATCTTCAAATTTCATCTGGAATTTGCCTTTTTCGCGAGGGCCCGGTACGAGTATAGCCCCGTCAAATATTTCGGCCTTTGTAGAACTTCCTGCCCAGCCCAAAGTAGCCCACACACCTCTCTTTGGTATAAAAACTCAAGCTGAACCAACCTCAACCCTAGTTTCACGTTTCTTCTCTTCGTTCCCTTCTGCGGCGGCTGTAGTCAACACAACCTCCACCTCCGCCCAACCTCCTCCTCCAACACGGTAACACCCCACCTGGTCAAGGCTCAAGAACTCCTTCTCCTTCCCATGGAGGTTGTAGAGCGCGGCAGTGATGGCGCCCGTGCGTGAGGCGACCCTGTCGACGGCGGCTGAGGATCGAGGCCACATGAAGTCAAGGCTACACTTGGGCGTCAACTAAACCGACGGCAGCGCCAACAACATCGAGCGTGGCCACAATTTCTGTGATATACTCTTGTTCTACCTAATTTCAATCGGAATTGACAAATTTCGGTCATTATTGTTGAAATTTTGGCCATATTTTGTTCCAAGTTTCAAATTTTGGTTGACTCTTCATCCGGAATTCTCTTAAAAATTTCCGAAATGACGAATTTCGCCCATTTCGCTAAGGCCCGGTAAAAAACAAATCCAAAATCTTGGGCAGAGCAAGCGATCAGCTTATTCTCTGCCTAAGAGACTTTTTCATCTTTTCTTAATTTCTTTTTTTCTTTTTATTTCTCCACTGCGCGTCGGCCCAGTCGCTTTGCGCTTCCCATTTGCATTTGCTCCCCGCCGTTTGAGTTGCATCGGGGTTTTTCCATGGGGAGCTCGAGTAAAGGATCCGAAGGTCCAGCCGACCTCATCAGCGTCCTCCCGGAGGATCTGCTTCTGGAGATCCTCGAGCGTCTTGGTTCCGCCCGCGCCGCCGCGGGCACCAGCCTCCTCTCCCGCCGGTGGCGCGGTCTCTGGACCCGGCTCCCCAGCCTCACCCTCAGCTTCCACGACCTCCCGTTCGGCTCGATCCAGGCCGCGCTCCACCGCGCCGCCGCTCGTGGACGCCCCGGTGTGTACATCTACCACCTCAACATCCGCGTCGCCGGCGAGGCCGGCACGATCGGCGCCGGGAGGTTCTCCTCGCTGCTCTCGGACGCCGCGAGGCTCTCGCCGGTGGAGCTACGCCTCACTCTCCCACGGAACCTGCAAGTCTCCTGCATGGACGTGGCACTGCCCAGCTTCCACCGCGCCACCTCCATGGATCTACGCGCGCGGACACTCCACTTAACCGTATGGGCAAAGCCATATGGGCCGATCAATAGCTGCTATGTCCCCTTCCGCTCGCTGGAGAGGCTCTCCCTCTCGGGATGCCACATCGATCTGGCCACCTTCATCCCGTTCTGCCCGCGCCTGCGCGTGCTCCGGCTGAACACCATCGGTCTGATAGACATGAGCAACATTACGGTCCACTCCGCGTCGCTGGAGGAGCTCGTCGTGGAGCACGGCAACAGATGGACCGGCCGCACCCATATCAGCGTCGACTCCCCTGTGCTTAAGCAATTGGCAGCGTCCTTCCATGCCTGCGGAAACATCGGGGTGTCCATCTTGGCACCAATGCTGGACAAGGTCTGGTGGCGGTGCTCGTATGCCAAGCCGATCTATGGGCTTGGTCTTTGGGGCCTCTCAGAGGTGGGCTTCAGCACCGACGCTGGGAGAGACGCCTGTGTGCAGCTCCCTAGCGTCCATGTCCTGTCCCTACACATATCTCCCGTCCAAGTATATATGTCTCATGTCCTGCTTCTTCAATTTAGTGCAATTGCCGGCGAAACTGAACTTATCCAGGATGTCTTGTCGAACTGTTGTTTGTTGTTGCAGGATTCAGTTAGCTTTCCAAATTGAGAGCTCAGCACCAAGGGCCATGTGTTTGGAGCTTTTGTGCTTGGGATGCATCGGATTCGTACAGCTTTACGGAACCTTAAGATTGTCCTGCTAAGATCAGAGGTAATTTATCGTACGCTGTGCTTATGCATTTGGAATATATATATGCAGTACATGTTCAGCCAATAAGTTTGAGGTACATTTTTTAACTAATGTCTCAACAGTGGAGCATACATAATTTCTTTCTGTAATTCACATCCGTTTAGGTGAAAGATGCATGCCCAGTGGGTCGCCATGTGTGGCTAGGGGTTTTGCCAGAGATTGCTTGTATTCCTGATGTCCTGAATGTTGAATAAAATCCCTAGTTTCCCTCAAAAAAAATCTCCCGTCCAAGTATATATGTCCCCTGTCTTGCTTGTTCAATTTAGCGCAATTGTCGGCGAGACTGAACTTATCCAGGATGTCTTGTCGAACTGTTTTTTGTTGTTGCAGGATTCAGTTAGCTTTCCAAATGCAGATCAGCTTTGAGGCAGAGATCGATAAACATATGGTTACCAACTTCTCTGGTCTGGACCTACATCTCAGCACCAAGGGCCATGTGTTTGGATCTTTTGTGCTGCATCTCCTTGGGATGCATCGGATTCGTACAGCTTTACGGAACCTTAAGATTGTCCTGCTAAGATCAGAGGTAATGTATCATACGTTGTGCTTATGCATTTGGAATATATACATTACATGTTCAGCCAATAAGTTCGAGGTGCATTCTTCAGCTAATTCCTCACTGTAGTTCACATTCGTTTAGGTGAAAGATGCATGCCCAGTAAATTGTCTCTGTGATGAGCCTAAGAACTGGAGAACCGAAACTATCACCTTGGCTGATCTTGAAAACATGGAAATTGAAGGCGTCGGCGGGGAAGATCACGAGTTTGATTTCTTGAAAGTGATATTTAGATGTGCTCCGGTGCTTAAAACAGTGACTGTGAGGCTGTCAGATGGAGATGGTTTTGTCACCATGACCCGATCGCGGGAACAGAACTCGGGGAAAACCCTAACTCGTGACAACCACATGAACCATAAACCAAGGCCAGGCAGCACTGCAAGAGTGCCCTTTGATCGCCCAAGAGAAGGGACATGCATGAGATCAGAGGAGGGAGGATACTCAACACCGTCGATGAATGGCGGCGAGATGATATGAACCCTAGCGAGAGGGAAAAATGGAATAGCAGAGTTGCGGTGGAGCGAAATTGGGAAATGCTGAGGTACAATCCATGTGTGGCCCTAGACGATAAAATATCCTTTGTAAATCGAGTGGCATGAGACGTTTTAGTGTCCAGTCATCAATACACTAGTGCAGAAATCGAGAAAGCCCATAAATAAATTGGTGGGGCCCGTAACTTACCCTCGATGCAAGTCTTATAGGATTGCTAGGAGAAAAGGGGTCAAATAGTCCGAAGTATGTCAAATGCTCGCATTATTGTTATCAGTGCCTAGGATGATTTGAAGGCCTTAATCCACTACATAAAAACGGATGAAGTGAGGACCTCGCCTGCCAAGCCAAAGAGATTAGTTCGAGGATATTGATGTAGACCTCGGCTTCGAAGACCAGTTCAAGGGCTACTAACGGTGTCCTAGATTAGGGGGTATTAACCTATATGGCCCACAGTCCATGGGTCGGGCATTGTCCCGCCGATCACTAGAAGGAAGGACTGCCGGGGCGGTGAACCCCGACGTGATCAAGATGAAAACTTCCAAAGACTTGGCGTGCACTTCAAGGACTGCTCTATTGTCGGTGTGTTGGTGACTGACCCTGTGTGTAACCTAGATACCCCCGTTGTACATATAAGCCGAAGGGTTTATTCTTTAGATGACACAATTACAAGTCGTAGGGTTTAGAACACAATCATACGATCTCAAGGTAGACCATCTTGTACTTTGTACCCCATCACATCAATACAATCAAAGCAGGACATAGGGTTTTACCTCTTCGAGAGGACCCGGACCTGGGTAAACATGGTCTTCCCCCGTCCCTTGTGACCATTGTTTCCAGACCTACAACTCTTGACCACTTACCCGAGATCCATCGGTTTTAGCACCGACAACCTCCTCTAGTTCTAGTTCTAATTTGGACTTGATCTAATTAGAGCTAGACCTAGTTCTCTCTAATCCTCATAATAGACAAGCCCTGTGTAGTTCTCTTCTTCTCCCTCTAATTCTTCGGTGACAATTAGCTCTGGACACTGAAATGTTGTCGGACCGTGAAGCATGTATGCTTGCTGTCACATCCCTAGCTTCTGGCATTGCTCTAGCCTAGCTTCATGTGTGCATCATGTCTATATTTTTGAAACTTGAATTGAGGAATATTGGAAGCCTCAAAACCCTAAATAAAAGAGGGGCAAAAACCCTAGAAATCTCATTCATTGCTCCAAAAGGCTCTTCTTAAATGTTTGATAATTTTTGGTAAGGGTTCTGGTCCCAACCAAAATATTGAACATTTTTAAGGATTTATTTTTGGGACTTTGAATTTAAATCATTAGCTATTTGAATTTGAATTATATTCATATAATTAGAATATAATTTCAAATACCCCTGAAATATTTTATGAGCTTTGGAAAAGTCCATCTAGCAATATAAAAATATTCAGAGGAGCTTTGGCATTGTTTGAATTATTATTTTTAATTCAAACAGTGGCAAAAGAATTAATTAAAAGAAAAACAGAACAGAAATAAAAAAAAAGAGAGAAGAAGTACCTGGCCTCACCGTGCAGCCCAGCCGGCCCAGCTCCCCCACCAGCGCGGCCCAGCCCACCTTCCCCCCCC